TTAACAGTAAATCAATCATAATTGATTTGATCAGGAAAGCATAAAAACATTACACGATTAAATTGAATAATAAAAACCACAGAATTGATAAAATCAATTATTTAAAGTCATTACAGAATCAAATCAGGGACACTCCCTAACATTTGGAGGTTTAGCTACTCATATTATTCAAAATAACTACAAGATAAAAATTAGACATTACAAATATTTGGATAGCTTCAATCTTCAATTGTTTCCGCGCATGAGAATCTTTCACTCTCCAATAACTTTTTCTCTCCAACCTTTAATCATGTGAATTCTCTGCTGGAAAAAAAGTCTTATAAATCAAATAAGGGCTTTCACTACTAACTCAAAGTGGGTCGGGAACATAAACTAGGCCCGTAAAACAACCTGAAACAACTTAATTTCTAAAGTCTGCAACTTCAATAAATTTTTCGTGGCTTCTACAGTCCAAATCAGTTTCTGACTTCAACATGAAAGTTGTAGCTCTTTATCTCAGATTTCCAATGAATATTAGAACATGTTGCTCTGATTCCCGTATCTCTAACTATGTATTTTCTAGTGAAAACTTATAATGATAGATCAATCCACGCATTGGCTGACACGAACAGTGTCAGCTGACACGGGCGGCCTTGTCAAACCTCTTGGAGCATGCTGAAAACTTTTCCGAAACTCTGAGTTTTGCACTTTTTTGCACTGATTTGTCCCGATTTATTCCTGTGAGCCTAAAAAAAGTAAAACACACAACCAACACATAAAATATAGAAGAACGAAATAAAATGCTTGCCAATATAAAGTAAAGATGATAAATCAACAGTAAATAAAGATGTAAAAACCACTGATCAAGTATGTTAACTTTCCCCTTTTTTTGTTTAACACTTGTGATGTGTGTGTCTTACCTTTATGGTAGTAATTAATGTTTATATTTTATTAAATACTTGTGCACCAATCCAAGGAAAAGGATAGTATTGTTGACTTTATAGTCATGTGCATATGCATATCCTTAAGTCTACCTTTATGTGTTTACATTTGTATATTACTTTTGTAATTGTTAATGTTTACCCTCGTGTACAAAATCCTTGTAAATAATCACCCTATGTGTTTTCATGTACTCTAAAAAACCTTTTAACTCTAAAAATAATTTCAAACTTTCACCACTTTCATATAAAAACCTTGACTTTGTGTGTTTCAAACTTTCTTTTTAATCAAATATTTAAATATACTTAAGAATATTAAAACTCTTTCAAAAGACTAAAAGTGATTTAACCTCTCTCAAATCTTTTTGCCATTTGGTTTTCTTTTTCAATTTAAATTTTTTCTCAAAGAGATTAGATATAAAGTCTTATTTATTAGTTAAGATATGGTTCTCCTATCTCTATAATTGTTGAAGTAAATGTGATTCTTTCCACATGAAGATGTTAAATGGCAACTTGTTGATCTTTATATCCAAGTTAGTAGTCTTTTCTTCATGATGATACAAGATTCATCTTCTCATACTTGATGGTATTAGTTGATCTTTCTCTCTAAAAATGATGAAATATTTCTTCTCCTAAAATCAATCACAACAAACACTTTTATTATTTTTACCACGAACTACGAGATTTTGATCTTTAATTGATACGTAGATATAAGACTATGTCTTTCCAAACAAAAATATCCTAAAATATACTTCTTTCCCCATCTCTGCGCTCATTTAGAAAACAAACAATTTTAAACGAAAAACATATATTATAAATGGTTCCTATGGAGTATTATATATACATATGGTGCTAATACTTTCTCATTGTGTAACCAACCATGTACCTTAGATCTCTTGTTTATGTTATTCTTCTAATCTTTACTTCTTGCATTGCATGTTAAACAATAAAATTTCGATTTTTTCTCTTTTTCTTTGGAAATAATAAAGTTCAATGGTGACTTCTTAAAGTCTTTGTGAGTCAAATTTCTCAATAGTTTGGTCTCTTCGATTTTTCACCGCGACTGAATCAAAGCATTCCTTGCCCGCAGATAGTATCCTTCGAAGTACGGGATATGGATAATAAATTAAATAAAAGATTAATAGAGGTCCCCATCTCCCGGTACTCGCTCCAATGCCTAAACATCTTGCCAAAGACCTATACGGAAGGGTGAGACTTAGAAGGAGAAATATTTAGATGATTCAACAACTCTTCTTCAAACTACTCAAGGGCAACCCAAGTCTCACCTAAGTGAAAAGGCACTCATAGAAGAAGATAAAACACTTATCAAAAGAGTTGCAAATCCTCTTTCCGTCTTCAATGTACAAAACAAACCAATCTGAAGAAGGACCCACTTCTATATGAGCTTCCACCACCTTTTCTGCACAGTCAAAAATAAAAATTGTGGCCACCAACTCATAATTCACCCAATGGTAGAAGCTCCCTTCTAGCGGTGACACCAAATTTGCACACCCCCGTTTTACCATTTCTTCCTAGTCATCATGTAAAACATAACGCCATCAGAAACTAGATAGTTATTCCTAAGGGTAAGATGGTCTCAAATTTCTACATCGGCAGAGTCCCAACCATACACCCCCTAAGAGTTTGAACATAATAGAAGGCTCTCTACTCATCTCGGATTGTCATGACCGCGTCCAATTCATTATAGGATTAAAGATATGAGGTAAGGACCATGATTGCTTCCATTTAAGTTAGATTGTGAGAGTTCCCCTTTCCATTCTCTTTAGAAGAGCTAAGAGGATCGTCTCTACTCTCAACAGAACTTCCTCCAGACCTAAAGCTATCGATAAATAAAATTATAATCCAGACCACTGATTTCTAGAATATCAACATAGAAAAAATAAGGATTCTCATAAATCGTTGACACTGAAGAATCTCTCATCGGCTTCGTTTATATTCTCAAGTCCACCTCCTAAGTTAGTTAGGATAAATGCTAAAAGGGGATAAACATCAAACAACAGAAAAAGGGTTAGATAATGATGATACTTAAACAAAAAGATGAAGCGAAAAAACTAGTCGAAGCATAAAAAGTTTGACAATGTAAGAACGCTAACAAGAAAGGGAGGTAGAAGAAAACATGAATCAACAAAATATGGAAGATGGAGGAGAAAGAGGTCAAAGGAACGATAAAGTCAAGTATATGAGAGAACGAAAAGTTGTTTGAAATATCAAAGCAATCTTTATATAATAAAAAAGATAATAAATTGATGTCGCAGAACGAAGATAAGGAAATGATGAAATACCAACCGTTTAAATGATACTTCAAAAATATAAAAACACTCGAGTACGTTTGAGTGTCCTAGATAAAAGTGTTCATGCCATGATACTTCAAAAATATAAAAACACTTGAGCACATTTGAATGTCCTAGATAGAAGTGTATGTGCCCTAAACTAGAAATTCACCGCTACGCGCAAAATAATCTATGAAACGTCTTAATGATTAGATGAATATTTAATGAAATTGTCTCTGAATAAAATATTATAATAAAAATTCAATACTAAAAAAAAAAGATTTATTAAAAGTAAAAATAAATATAATTAAATATATATTTTATTAAAATATAATTATATATTTTTAATTATTATAATTTATATTTTTTTAATTTAAATTTAATTTTTTAAATTAGAAAGCCTCCATATTGATTAGACCGACCTGGGCATACTCATAGGCAGTGTGGAGAACTAAGTTTAAAATAAAAAGTTAGGATCATAAGTAAATTTGCGGTGTCCATCCCGACTACGAGATGTTGGCTTTCAACGTCCTTCAGCGTCCCTTTGGCCCTTAGTATAAAAGAAAGAGAATTTTGTATTTCATCTCATACACAAAAGAAAGCTCTTTTGCAATTTTAAAATTATGCTCAAATATCAAAAATACATTTCCGGTTCGCACCATACAGAAACAATCAAATATCAAAAATACATTTTCGATTCGCACCATATAGAAACAATGAAATGTAGTTTCACCTTTCAAAATATAAAAACAAAATCAGAGATATATTTTTGATTCTGCACCAATTATGATATTGATGATGTTATTCAATAATATTTTTTGATTCCTGTGTAGCACAAAAACGAAATTACTTCTCCGGATCAAAATCAAAAATCAAAAACTAAATTCCAATTCCAATATAATTTATCAAATTTTGATACGCATCGAAAATATACTTTTGATTTTGATAAGAAAATCATAAGATAGAAATAAGAAATCCCCCATAAGAAAAATACTTAAATTGAAAGCTTCGTACAACTTAGCAATGAAGTTCTCATTCAAAGGTCAAGCCCTTACATAATAGTCATTGGAAAATGGGTAACCTTTTCTTTAACTCTTGCTCGTGATTATGCAGCTGACCCAGTGTTAACATCGTATTACCAACAATTTGATTCCAGAACCGAATAGAAACTATTTTTGAGTAATCAGCTAAATTTACATAAAAAGTGGTTTGTATAGTTTCTAAAAATATCAAAATTACAAATTAGTCAAATAAAGTTTTCTTTTATGCCATTTTAATCATTAAATCCTTTTTTAAATAGTTAATTAAATTCTAAAATATATTTTTCATCTTACACATTTAAGAACTAAAATAATTTACTCACAACGTAAATCCATATCCAGTTTTCCTTAATTGTTTAACTCTTCGGGTAAAATAGTATTCATGTAATTGTCATGCATTTACTACCGTCGCTGTTCTATACTAAACCATTGTAGTTGCCATGTATTTGACCGACCATCTTCGTGACAAGTTTATACCATAAACCAAGAAAAAAACAGCTTGTAAAAGTTCTCGTCCTCCTCAAAATCGATCTCAGGTAAACTACATACAATGAGGCACAGAATAATCTTCATCACCCCATAATTGTTCTAATATATAATAGGATCGTTAAAAAACAAACTCAGATTAAGTACTACAAGTCTCGATGTTGAAAACCTCCCAGCAATGTAGACGTCAATGTCAAACAATCATCAGAAGTAGTTGCTGTGGGAGGCTAGCTTAAAGGGTAGATGGTAGAAATTGAACCTTAAATTCAGGCATCATATGTCGACAAGATGTTTTTCTTTAGAGTGAATTCATCGGCCTTAGCAGGGCTGATAGACTGCATCAATCAATCAAATAATGAGTGCCACTATTATGTTGTTGCAACATTTTGCAGCATGTTACTTCTTATTTCATGCATTAAGAGAAACTTTCAAGGTTTTTGATTTGCAAATAAAATGAATTTTACCTTTTCAAGTATGCGCTCTAGGCGCTGAATTTCTTTCTTAGCATAATCAGAACCTTTCTCCAGGTGATTCTTGGCAGTTTTCAAGTAAATCTTCCCGTATCTAATGGGAAAAAATAATTGCATTACTGCCTCTAGTTTTTGGCTTTGGCTTAAAGTATTAAGAATAAACAGCGCAAATTAAACTATTCTCAAGGGGCATAATTTCAAGCCAATTACCATCACAATATTATGAAAGGATGATGTTAGATTACCTAGAAGCAGAACCCTGAAGCTTCCCAACTTCCTCTTCGATTTTGGCAAATACAGTCTTCTTCTCTTCATCGTTAGCAGCTACAAACTCCTTTACCAACAAGTCCAAGTTCTCTACTTTACCAGCCTATATAGAAATATAGAGTAGAAATATCGAGTGTGAGCAGCAGAATGTTACGTGCAACAATTTTGAACATTTTCACCCCACAAAAAGACCATGTTCACTGCCACCAATTTTTTTATTAAAAAGACAAACAAATGAGAGTGAGAGAGTGCTTCTATAAGAATTCACTAACCTCAGAAGTAAGTTGTCCTTTTGAATCTCGACTTGTTCCAGATTTCTCATTGATAAAAGCCACAAAGTCATCTAAGTCTCTTCCACCTCCATAATCTTCACCGGCTTTATTGCCCTTTGGGAAAAACTTTAAGGTAGGAAATCCAGTCACTTCATACCTGCATCAAAGTAATTCCAGAAATCCTTAATCAGTTATTTATGATATTGAATTTTTCCACCTCCAAGTCTAACTGTTTCGGTTCCTACATTTTGTCTTCACACTATATGATATTAACACCCATATCGGAATAACATTGAAATATATCCACCAAATACCATTTCACTTCTATTAGAGTTCACTCTTTAAGTTTGATTCCTTCGGATCAAAAACTATTTTATTTAAAGATTAGACAACTAAAACTATTTTTTGTAAGATTAGGAAACTAAAACTTACTTTTCAGCCAGGTCCCTATATTTGTCGGCATCCAAATTTGCAATCACTACTTCGTCCTCCGTTTTAAAAGCTGCAGCAACTTTTTCATAAATCTGAAGGGGAAAAGAGCACAGCCAAGTTAAACATATCTCTTTCGAAAAATAAACGCATCAACATTAAATTGATAAAAAAGGAAACTGCAATGATATTAACTTACAGGAGCAAGACTCTTGCAATGTCCACACCTGGCAAAATAACAAAGTTCGTAAGATATAGCAGTGATCGAGAGTTTTCACAAACAGTCCACGATAGAATGAAACCACAGGCCCAAAACATTACTAACAATAATTTAATGCAAAACAAACCAAAAAAAAAAAAAGCAAAATTAAAGATTTAAAAATTACAATCTGAAAATTACTGGTGAATAGTGAGTACCATGGTGCATAAAACTCAACCAAGACATCTTTGGTTTCATCCAAGACAACTTCGTTGAAGGTTTCAGGTGTTAGCACCACTACACTAGATGGAGCTGCAGCAATCTTTACATTAGTTCCTGCAAGAGAATACCTCTGTTTAGGAAATCCACTAGTACAATTGCAAATAAAATACACAGAAGAAGAAAGAGGGAAAACCAATTCATGCTCAACATCGCCACAGAAACTAAAATAAATCAAAGTGTGCAGATTTTGATGATTTAGGACATGGAACCTAATATTACTTTAGTATCTCAGTAAAGTCTATTATGCATTAAAATACTTTTATAAAAAGTAATATATAGATAGTGCTACAGAATGGCTCTTTGTGATATTTCCGAGGAGAGCCACTAACTATATTTCTTTAGAAGTTATACAACAATAGATGGCTCTAAAACTACAAAAAGTACCTGCTTCTGTATTTATAAACTCGGCAAGTGATTCTGCAGTGCGTGGCCCTTCAAACCTACAGCAATTATCCAAAATCAAGTATGAGATGTCAATAAATAGACGTGAAAATGCAGGGTAATGAACTATGAGTTGAGAAATAAAATTATATTAATACTATTTTTTAAAAGCCAAGGTTTTCTCACTTTTTGGGTTCCAGAGATCCTTTTGGAAACCACTGAATCGTTGGGTACCCGGAGACTCCATATTTGGTGCACACACTCTTATGCTCATCACAGTCCACCTATAGCACATTAATGCATAAGCTTCATCATATGTGAAACGAACTAATTAAATGATCAATAAGAAAGGACAAAAAGAAACCTCAAAGTTCAAAGCACAATGATTATGAGGAAAATTTGCAAATAAAACTTTCCAAGAATGATAGATCCCTCTCACCCCTCCTCTACTTTAAAATCAATATCATAATATACATTTATAATGGGACAGAGGATATCATTTTGAATATGTAAAAAGTTCAGCAGTGGAAAAAATAACCCTAGAGTGATTACATGAAAAATGTCATTGTGTCTTAAACTTCCCGGTTATAAAGGTATTCAACCCCAACATGCTCTGTAATAAGAATATGATTACCATACACAAACACTCATATACATATAAAATGTCCCGATGCTCAAAAAATAGTGAATTTTGTTTACCAAGGTAACAAACAAACTACGAACAATAATCATAGCTATAAATGAAGAGAAAAACCAGGGGGCTGACCTTGGCAATCAAAACAGAGTTAGATTTCTTGAAGCTGTTACCAAGCTTTTCATATTCTGGAGCTAGCTTTTTGCAGTGTCCACACCTATTATTACAGATAAAGCAGAATACTAATGAGTTAATTGTGCATCTTAATTGCATCATAACACTCCCGGTACATTACAAAGGGAAATAACTTAGTTGTGAGTACAATGAACAAGTTATGCTGAAGTTTGTAAGCCTGGAATTATTATTAAAATTCTGCTTCTTACTTATAAAGCTTAATGGATATGGTGTTGGGGAGGGTTAGTGCTTCAATTCCTCAACTAAAATTCTGCTTCCAACTTATGAGGCTTATGTTTGGATAGATGGAAGAGAACAGAGCAGAGTGAAACATAACGGAATGGAGCCCCACACCGATGTTTGGTTATTTTATTAATAATGTTCTGTTCCATTTTATAGATCCCAATTCGGATGGAATAAAAGATGGAGTAAAGAAATGGAAGATTGGATGGCATGGAATGGATTCCGTCATGTTCCATTCCACTCCATCCATAATTTGCAAATTCAAACAATAGAACCACACTATTTACAACACCATTCTATTCCATCCCATACCACGAACCCAAACATACCCAATATCGTCTTAGGGAGGAGCAGTGTTTCACTTCTTTAGATTAGTACAGAACTATAATTAATCTAGTTTCTTTTCACTCCTCTTTCGAGAGTTTTGTTCTCCTCTTCCCTGTATTTTTCATTCACTCTATTAATAGAAAAACTCAGTTATAATCTGTTAAAAGAATATAAATCAAATAGCCTAGATTTTTCGTTCATTCTAATAAAAAATAATTTCTTATCTTTATCGGTTAAACTAAATGAGTTATAAATTAAATGACCTAAATTCAACCCAAAAAGGATCACACTGAAACACATAATCTTAACGATAAACTATGGAGTTGCTGATTAGTTATTAGGCTATTTATTTAATGCAGATCAAAACAAAGAAGCTTAGTATAATAACATGATTATTTTTTGTTTACAACTTCTATAAAAGTTTATTTAGTTTTGTCTTATGTGTTTCATTTACTCTATCGATGTTCACAAGAATGACAAGTCATTTCTCGTAACCTATAGTGAACTCAAAGAATCGCAGGGCCTGTTTGAATTAGTTTATTTGAGCTTATGGACATTTTTTATACATTATATTTGTTTGAATTAGTTTTATTTGAGTTTATGGAGATTTTATGAAACAGCTTAAGACATTTTTTATACATTATATTTTTATAAATTCTTCAAGATAGCCAGCGAAAACTTATTAACATATACAAAAACAGTTTATGCAAACTGCTACAAGCAGCAAATAAACTGTTTATCCCATACAGACACATAATCTCCCTAGTTTAATGAGGTAAAAATATTAACAAAGAGACACTAAATTGACCTGGTTAACAAACTAGAGGATAATGATCTAAACCGAATTGCATCAGAATCTAAAACGGCATCGTATCATCTACAACAAGGCATACCAATAGACCAACAGTTAACAAAAGTACAAACTGAACCGTTTAAAGGAAAGAACGCATCGGAACGAAGCGAATCGGGAAATTAACAAGATCGGATTCATCTGAAAATAAAAAAGCGGTGCGAATCCAGAATCGTATAATAACAATTTGAACTTCATGAAAAACTATAGATCATAATGGAAGCGATAACGGATAGAAATGAAGAAGATCGAGAAGGTTAGTGAAAATTACCATGGGGCGTAGAACTCAACGAGAGCTCCTTTGTCTTGACCAACTTCCTTCTCGAAATTCTCTTCAGACAGCACAACGACGTCGTCTGCGGACACCGATTGGGAGAGAAGTGCGAACGCGAACGCTGCGAAAGCTATACTTCTCCAGATCTGAAACTTCTCCATTTTCTTCTTCTTCTTTCTCCGTTCTTCCTTTCTTTCTTTCGGTGTTTCTGCTTAATAGGAAGAAAAATACTTGAGTATCAATTCCGTTATTATTAAATTCTTATGGGTCATCGCACTTGTTCCACTAGCACAATTGGACTTTGCTTCACACCTAATGACGCTTATTTGTTAACGTGGCATAGTATAAGTGGCGCATATGGAGGATTCAAGCCACGTGACAACTAGGACACGTTATACGATGTTTTCTAAACGAATTTTAATCAAATATAAAAAATATATCACAATGTCATGTGATTAGACATATATATAAAAAAGTTTTATAGTATATAGTGATTTTTAAAAAAAATATAATCATGTTTATCAACTAAAATGCAAAAATAATTGTGTTTCTATTACTCAAAGATCCGTGCGAAAATCAATATAAATAGTAGATAAATATTATATAATTATAGTTAAGAAACGTACATGTAAATATATATAAATTAAGAGAAAAAAATATTTTGACGGATGATTATTATATAAATATTAATTTAATTTATTAGGTTGTATAGTTGTTAAGATATACATATGTTGAAAAAATTATGGGTACATGGTGTAGTACAGTACACACAATTGATTTGTAGTAGTTGATTTATTTTCCGTATATTCATTTATAAAAATATTTATAATTTATTGTGAATTTTTTTTAGCAATAACCAAGTATTGAAAAAAATACATAAATAATCATGTTTTTGAGAAAATTATGCAAATAACCATGTTTCGGAAAACTCCACAATGGAGGCGTCAAGTGAGATGGCGCATGCACTCACCTTTTTGCCTAAGGCGTCATCTCACTTGGTGCATGCACTTTGTTTTAGACAAGTGAGATGGCACATGCACTATAAAAAGGAGAGAATGCGCCATCTAAGATGGCTACTACGTGCAATTGTGTTTTCTATAAATAAAACACTCATTTTTCCATCATTCTTAACACTTTATCACACTCTCTTCTTATTTTTTTTCTCTGTTATTTGCGTCATGACATCTTCCATGATTTTCATCAGAGATGGATACATTATTTTCTCAGCCATCAAACCTCCGATGAAAATGAAATTTTGGCACATTCACTCCATAGAACGTCTGAAGAGAGAGTCAATACGGTGGCTAGAGGGAGACATCGAGGATGGGAAACAAATTAGAAGGATCCAAAGAAGAAGAAGAACCACGTCTTGCAACTGGAAGAACTCAATCTTGGTTGGAGGAAGTCAAAACAGACAAAGACGTAATAATGATGATGCATGGCTCAAATGAAATTATTTTGACGTTTGTAATTTCTTAGACGTTTTATCGTGTTTTTATTTGTTATTTACGTATATTTTGTTGTAACAAATACTTTTAATGAAAAAAAGATACAATTAGAACTTTAAAAAGTGCAGATGGTTTCCATACAATTTTTATGTTGTCGAGCTTGTAGCTTGAGTTGGACAATTTTTCGACTGTGTCTGACCTGACGACATAAACTACACTTTCTTTCTAGCTTGTAAAGGGAGTTCATTTCAGTTGTGATACGCTTGCTTTTGGGATGACATTTTTTATTTCTTTGCATTTGATCGTTGTGTCATACTATTTCCTCATCGTATGCAGACCAATAATCAGGTTTCGCTACCATTGGGAAGTCATTGTTGTATACGTTGAGCAAGGTTTCAGACTTGTAAATTGGAAATAGAAGTAGTAATGCATCTTAATGAGTATACACACATGCCACAATGACATGAAAGCAAGGCATACGAAAGACTTGAAACTTTCCATAATCGCATCAACGAGATGGTAGTATAATCATATACTCTTGTCTTGGCAACCCCTCGTTATGGTCGATTGTCTCTTTGACAATGAAGTTGTGGCTATGTCGATAGAACCTTATAACAAGATGGGTGTTAGCTTTGACTCTTTCTGCCTTAATATACTTCATGTAGCTTTCATTTCATAGTTGTCCTGATTGTAAGACCGCATTCCATATTTCACATCTTTTGGCAAACAACGAAGCCATCCTAAAATATGTTGATTTCACCAAAGCGGTTACTGGGAGGTTTCGTATGCATTTGAATACACCGTTTGTTGATTCGATAATATTTGTTGTCATGTGGCCCCATCGATGTCCATTGTTGTATGATCTTGTCAATTTCTCCACTAGAATATCATCAATCCACCTACCTGCATCTGGATTTGACAATCTGATCTCGTTGTGATAGTGTTTGAACGAAGGTTGTATTAATGCATACCCCATGTTCATAACTGTTTTCCTAAGAATCTTGTCTTTGATCTCCCGCGTGAAATTTTGTGTGATATGTCTAATGCAGTAGACATGCGTAAAAGGAGGATCATGCCAACTATTTGTAGGATTATTGTATGCACTCTCAATAGATGCATGTTTGTCGAAGATCAAACAGAGACTAGGTTGAGGAGCCACATGTGTTAGGAGATTCTTGAGAAAGAAACTCCAAGCACCACCAGTCTCTCCCTCGACTAGAGCAAAGGTAATTGGGAAAATGTTGTTGTTGTCATCTTGTGCAACTGCCATCAGTAGCGTGCCTTTATATTTCCCGTACAACCATGTTTCATCTATTTGAATAATAGGTTTGCATGACACAAACCATGTGATGCAAGATTGAAAAGCCCAGAACAGTCGATTGAATATCCTATTTCCGTTGACATGAGTACTATCTGGGGCGTACGCCGAAAATGTTTCCATAATATAAACAGTTCCAGGAGAATACGTCTGAAGTGCATGCAGGTAGCACAATGGTTCTTTGTATGACTCATCACAGTTTCCATATACCTTTTCAATCGCCTTGGTCTTTGCTAACCATGCCTTTCTGTATGACAATATAATTGTATACCGTAGTGATGTGAGAGATTATGGTTTTCACCTTCAATGACAAATCATTGCTGATGAGAGATAGGATTTCTTGACATATTAGATCATAATTTAGTTTATGATGATCTTGTTATTGATTAGAATTGATGCACGTGTGGGTGGACATATAACCTATCACCCAAAAATCACCTCTCAACTTGTATGATACAGTGAGCCTGAACATACAATCTGAGTGAACACACCTGATCTTGTACCTTTCTGGATTTACCCGATCCACCTTAAAATTGACAGAGTTTAGCATGTGAAACTTTTCTATAGCTCACATACAATCTTCTCTATTACGAAATTTGTCTTTCTCTTTTAAATTTTCATTCGGTTGCATATACGGGTTGAATAGAGGGTTATATAAAGTGGTTAGAACTTTAAACATGCTTGATTTTGGTTTATAGGGATTGTGTATGCAGAAAGAACAAGTGCAAGGCTCAATACAAGTTGATTTTGCATAATGCTTGCTTTTCTAAAATGGCAATGATAACTTTGTGTCGTTAATGGAAAATTGGTTTGGACAATGCTTCAAGCACTTGAATAAGAGCTTAATCAATTGTGTAAACTATTAATTATGGAGTGAAACACAAGTTTGAGGCCTGTAAAGTTGGATTTGTAAAGCACACTTGAAGATTGGATAATTGTTCATCACAAATATGCCTTGTAAATCAAGTTTGAAACCCTAACTTCTTGCCTTCGATTCTCTCAGCTCAAGTATGATCTTAATGACTTATTGGAAATTTTGGAAAGCTTATAACATACTCTAAAATATTTATGTTGGACATTTTTAAAATTCCAATTGGAACTATGTGAAATTAGGTCAAAATCCTGACTAAAACACTCAAAATTTCACTAAGTGTTTTTGTTTTATGTACATGTCTTCATGAATTTATAACTTAAAATAAAAGCATTTTTAGAACTTGATTCCTTCTACAATGTTTTATATATCATTAAAATATACAACTTTCATGTTGGAAGTTTTTCTTGAATCATCATGTATCATGGTGAAAATTTGGCACAAAGTCATGAAAAAAGTTAACTTTCCAACACTTGGAAAAATTTCTAAGTCTTAGAATTTTGACTTTTCAAAGATGATTTTGACTTTTTGATTTCTTAATGAACAATCTTCATATTTTGACTGTCCCGTACGCCTCGGACAAAGTTTTCCCTTGGCATTATGGCACCGACGTCTACTATCATGGCGTTAAACAAGATCTGAAGAATGAAGAGGCTGATCCCGATGTCAGTAACATTGTCGGGACCCGTAAGATTACCATAAGTGGAAGGGTTTTCTCTCCCGAGATTTCCCCAAAGACTGTTAATAAGCCTGTTGTTATTTCACCTGTTATTCCTACCAATACTTCAACTACTACTCCTCCTGTTCTTACTCCAATTGTCACTCCTGCCGTCGAGTCATCTGGGACCCGAGGCAAAGAAGCTATAGGTGAGCCTGCCCGGACGGAGGCACCTAGAAAGATTGTCGTAGAAGTCTCTAAGCAAGAGATAGAGGAAATATTAAAAATAATTAAAAAGAGCGACTACAATGTGGTCGAGCAGCTGGGGCAGACCCCCTTGAAGATATCCATGTTGTCTCTGTTGTTGTGTTTCGAGGCCCATGTGAAGGCTTTGATCGCATTCCTCAAGACTGCACATGTGCTGCAAGAGACCTCGACTGATCAATTCAAAGACTGTGTAGCCAGCTTGACTGCTGACAATGAGAAGGGTTTTTCAGATGCCGACTTAACACCAAACTGGAGGAAGCATAATGATGCTCTGTATGTCTCAATCGAATGCAGAGGCACCACTATGGCTCATGTGCTGGTGGATACTGGGTCTTCACTGAATGTCCTGCCGAAGAAGGCTCTCGATCGACTAGATTGTGAGGGCTTGACCTTAAAGCCTAGTAACATTGTGGTACGGGCTTTTGACGGGTCGGAGAGAGTGGTGCATGGGGAGGTGGACATCCCTGTCAAGGTAGGATCTCAAACCTTTGAGTCCAAATTCTATGTGATGGACATCAGGCCTTCATATTCTTGTTTGTTGGGTCGTCCTTGGATCCATGAAGTGGGGTTGTTACTTCTACACTGCACCAAATGATGAA